ACTGGGACATAACAAATACATACACTAAAGACAAACAAACACTTTAAAATTTAAATTGGAGAAGCTACATTTTTATATTATAGAAGCCAGAGACAGAATGGCTCCCAGCCTGGCGGAGGCGGAAATATTGGGGTGACATGTGACAAATGACAGCTTGTGAAGGGCAGTTACAAGTGATCTGCGCCTTTCAAGATTCTATGAAACTAGGTATTGACCAAAGGTCCAACTGACACCACTATAGGAAATCAACTGAAGAAATATAAAATTATATCTAATATTGTTATGTAGATTGAATAATCCAGATCTCACACTTAAACCTGTTTATAATAATTAGGATGTTAGTTTGAGAGAAATTGAAGTTGACATAATTTTTTCAACTACAAACTTGGAGTTTTTATCCAAGTGAATTAAAATTTCTTTTTTAAAAAACGTTTCTTGGCTTATTTCAGATGCCCCTGAGGATGATCTTGTGATCGAAAGTACTTGGGCAAGATTTAATTAAATACTGTGTTCGATATTTGACTTGTGTACCATCAAAGTTCATTTATTCGAACATTCAACCTTATATTGATTGAAAATTATAATTGCCAGAATGATTTCCAATCTCCGATAGGAGTGGAACTTGAAGAAGAAGAAGGTGTTTAGAATCGAGGACAATGGGATGTTTTTCGAAACAAAAATTAGAATTATGCAGTCTTTCACCAACGTGGAGTATGTTATCCATATCGATAAACAGATTGAGGATAAGTAATTTACTTTTAGAATCAACGTGACCATGTCCATTAAGGTGTGTCAAATCGTCAAAAAATTTTATTTTGTACTAGTCGAATTATATATTTTAAAGCATTATCTATTTCCTCACAAGAAAGGTTGTCGAAACTGCTTCGTTTAGTTAAAAATTTATAATTATTTTAAAGCGTAATACATAAGCGATAATGCGTTGTAGTTTTACAAATAAGGATATTTTAGTAATGATGTCCAATTTCATGTGAACTCTTGCGATAAGGGCTGATACTGGTCGAAGCTCCGAGAGTTAAATGTTCAAATTTCATGTGACTCTTGCGATAAGTGATACTGGTCGAAGTCGAAGTTTAAATGTTCAATATTCTATTAAGCCAATAAGTTTCTGGTTTAGCAAGCCATGATGGAACTATGAAACCACATTTAAGAACTGATAAGTGATGTAGGAGAAATTTCCCTTGATAGAGGATCTGTCGGATTCTCAAGTGTATTCACGTAACGCAATGTGTGAGATTCGGTCGAAGTTTGAATTTACGAAACTCTATTTGCCGCAAACGTCTTTAACAAACTCGAAGCAGTGTTAATTTATCCTAGAACAATAGAGGAGTCGCACGTAGTGAGGATGCGTTTTAAGGGAGCTACTCTGGTTTGGGAGCAAAGTAGATGACATCAAAATTCTTGAAGTTTTCAGATAAACGAATATAAATGCAAGCACAATATGCAGTGGTGGATGCATCTAAAAACCCATGTAGTTTAATTGACTTATAGTTTGTACAAATTACATCACTAGAAATTTGTAACTGATTAAGTTTAACCAGTTGAGTCTGATATGTAACTCATTTCGTAAAGATATCCATGGGAACGACTTCGTCCCATGAAATTTTTAATTTCCGCAAATCTTGAAGAATAATTTTAATTGTTATAGTTACAGCCAAAAGCAAACCTAGTGGATTAAATATTTTCGATATAGTGGAAAGAATAAGTCTCTTGTAACGTTACACTTGTGCTCTATACGTTAAACATTGAAATAAAAAGTGTTAGATTTTGGACTCCACAATAAGCCCAAAGTTTGGAAAGTATCGTCCAATTTCCAAGGAAATAGTATTTTGATTATTAAGGTTTAAAATAGGTGGGTTTGACTTTCGTTTTCTCGATTGGAAACCATGACGAGACAATAATTCGGAAGTAAGTGATTGAATGCGTTTGATATCTTCTATTGTAAAACCACCTGTGTGAAGATCGTCGACATAAATGTCCCGTGAAAGTATAGAAGATATGTCGGAAAAATCGGTTGCATACATATGTGCTACTTCTTGAAGACATCAAGTAGCAAGAAAACTAGCAGAAGCAGTACCGTAACTTACGTAAGTTACAAAACAGGGTTCTAGAAAAAACTTAAAACCTCAACCGCATAATAGACCTAACAGCGGTCTACGATACAGTCTATAGAGAAGGCATTATATACAAGCTCCTCCATGCAATCTCCTGTAAATCCACCACTCGAATAATCAACAGCATGCTAGCCAACTGAACGATTCAGGTAATCAAGAGAACCGACATTAGCACCCCAAAAAAACTGGCAAATGGACTGCCTCAGGGATCTGTTCTAGCTCCTTTTCTCTTTAGCCTATACATCTCTGATATACCAAAAACCAGATCAATGAAGTTTGGTTACACCGATGACTGGATCATTGCAACAAGGTGTAAGTCATTTGAAGAAACAGAAGAAATCCTCACAGCGGACTCACACACAGTGGAAAAGTATTTCCGTCAATGGAGGCTCCAATCAAACGCAACCAAAACAGAGGTTTACAGTCGAAATCCAATTCGAAAACACTCACTCTGCTACAATAAAACACCAAAGTACCTTGGGGTAACTCTTGACAGAACCGTATCTATCGTGGAACATCTGTCGAAAACAACAAAAAAACGTAAATCCAGAAACAAGATCATAAAGAAGCTGTGCGGCACAACATGGAGAGCATTGGCTTTTACCTTGCAGTCATCTGCCCTGTGCCTTGTTTTATCAACTGCGAAATACTGCTCTTCAGCCCGTCAACAGCCCTCATATACACAAAGTCGATGTCAAAGTAGCGTTATCAAATCCACCCCTACGCAATGGCTTCCAGTACTGAGCCACATTCCACCACCCATACTACGGCGCATACATTCCCTCACTACTGAGTACAGAACGATACTTAGTAACGAGATCCTGCTAATCCATCGAGATATATATGCTGCCAACGGTAACGTCTACGCTGATGACCTCCAATAAAAACAGCATAGACTGCTGTGGAGAATGAATTCAACTTAATGACCTTTTGGAGTCGAGAATGGATGGAACAACAAAATAGTAGCTTACTCTGCATCATACAAAAACCACCAGGTTTTGACTTACCACGCAATACATGGACTATGATGAACCGAATCAGAACCCAAAAAGACAGATGCGGTTACGTGATGCACAAATGGGGTAACCGACCATCCCCATTCTGTAACTGCGGACAACCACAAACCATCTGTCACATCACAGAACTGTGTCCCGCAAGATCCTATCATGGCAGGTCATCTATTATAAGTTATTTAGATGTTCGTTTGTAAATACAGTGGTGAGTGCTTTATCACCCGGCTTTTTAACGTAAGAGATAGAAAACACAGTTACCTTGTGAAATAAAAAGAGATGAAACTCGTAGAGGTGGGAAATAATCGATAGAAACCTATAATTTACATTACATTGCATTAACACTATCGATAGTCTCACACCTTTAGACGTTAGCTTCCAGCTAAATCACCTCGGTCATAATTATTATTTGTGACGTATGTGTAACGTATTTCAGTGACATTTTTTAATTTCACATAAAGTAAAAAATGATTGACCACAATAAAGCAAAAATATGAATAAAATAAATTAATAGTGATTATTTAATCTAAAGAGTTTCATACACTCTTGTCACGGAAATAAACATCAGTCCCTCGTGGATTAGTGGTAAGAATTGGACACTGCGACACAGACGATTAGAGTTCAATTCCATATGTGATTTTCTTTTTTTTTTAATAATTTGAAATTATGCAGAGATCGTTTTGATTTGAATCACTAAACAATTATGTCAGTCGTTACTAGTATTAGAAGTGTTACACATAAATATCTTTTTGAATTTGAATTATTTTGTATTTCCGTTTTATAACATTGGAATAAGAATAAATTGTAAATAATGAGTTTTTCGAAAACTTGTTACCTAATATGTATAATATTTTCTATTATTTTTTGATTGAGTAAAACAAAAATTTTATCCTTGGTGTGAATTAAACCCCAATCTTCTTGTCAATAGACCACGTGTCTAATAATTACACCACGTCCACATACAATTAATGTTTTCGGACAGAACATACTTACCTTTAGTTTAGTGAAATATTTCAGTTAAGTTATTTTTATTATTAAATAAACTTAAAGATTTATAATTTAAAATCGCTACTAATTAATGTTTTTTACTTTAATTCTTAATTTATTCAATCATTTATTCTTACATCAGAAATTATTAAAATAAAATATTTTCGCGGTCATCCGTATAATTATGACTGAAGTCAAATAGCCACGTCTAAGAACTAGCTTTATCTCATTCTTTCTCACAAAATCCATCTTCTATCCTTTCTGCTATTTTGCCGGGTTTTAAAGCGACTTTAAACACTTCTAATACTATAATAACGTCTAAAGGTGTGAGACTATCGACGGGTGGTAATGTAATGTAATGTAAATTATAGGTTTCTATCGATTATTTCCCACCTTTACGAGTTTCATCTCTTTTTATTTCACAAGGTAACTGTGTTTTCTATCTCTTACGTTAAAAAGCCGGGTGATAAAGCACTCACCACTGTATATGTATTATGTCTTATACAAAATATAGAATGTTGATGTTAATCATAGGGCATTAAAGAAATATCATCAAAAGCATTTAGTTTTTCACAATATTTACAATTATTCTATCCGACCACGTTTATTTTAAATAAATGACATGAAAATTCGTAATATACACAACTGGAAAAACGAAATCAGTAATACATAATATACCAAAACAAACATTTTTTCGGTATAGTTTTAAAACAAATTCTATTCTCAGAAAAATTATTCACGCATTGCTTAAAGTGTTTTATCGATAATTTTATTAAAGAATTTTGATTAAACCGATAGTTATAATGAGACAGCGATTAAAATTTGGTATAAAATACACTCGCCTGGGACGAACTTGCCAAATCGAAGAATCATGAATTTAAGATTGGTAATTTTTTGTTGCTTGCTTTATGTTGCAAATAAAGGGGTAAGTTTTCTTTTACTTGAATATCTAATGTTGAAATAATTTAAAACAAAACTAAAAGGTATTTGTTAATGGCGCTTCCAAAAATTTAGAAATTACAACAATAGTAGGCTAAATTATTTAGGTATTTACAGAATCTTTATATTTTTTTTACATAGTGTCGTATACCTATAGTGCGTTAACGAATTATCTTAGGGACAAGTATGCTGCGTATACCTTGGACAATTCATCGTATAAACGTTTTCATTCTTAACCAACTTGCTATTAAAAAAAGGCTGTCCACAACATATGTGTAGCGAAATCTAGTTCTTTGGTAACATGGTTTGCAGAAGTGACGATAATTTAGATTAAGGAAACGGTCTTTTGATCAGAAAAATTTTTTCTGGAAACGGTCCAAGGAGAAGACCAACAGAATGGTCAACAACCAGATGGCCCGACCAAATTAGCGAGCCACTCATTCTGCGAAACTCTTATATCAGCTAAAGATAAAGACAAGTCTTTCTGACGATGTCACAACAATGGCAATTCATCACTGCGCAGAAGAAATTGAAAGGCAGACAAGAACGCACCATTTAACTGCCATCTTCACAGATAGAGATCTCCACTCAATTCTGTAGAGGTCAATTCTAAGCTAGTATGGAATTGTGTGGATGCCCTAAATAAACTAGAAGACCATAGCAGAGTTATAAAGAAGACGAGGGTTATAAGGAAAATGAAAAAGGAGATGAAATGGCTAAAAAAGCTTATTAAAGCTCAAGAATGGCTACAAGAAAGTTATTAGCACACAATTCTCTGGAATGGTCGAGAAATTCACCAAGACAATGATAGGTGAAACAGTTTACTATAGAATATTTGACAAAATTTACAGCAACCTAATAAGCAAAGAGAAGAAAACAGTCAAACTCATAGTAAGTCTCTTAAGAGAGTAATCTGAATAGGAAGTTAAAGCTGTGGGATTGGCAGATAATGATCTATGCAGATTCTGTCATATTATAGAGAAAGAAACAGCAGAGCACATTTTGTGTCAGTGCTCGTGACACATAGCAAATTTGCGCTTCTTTATATTAGACGAAAAAAAGCTATATGTAAGCTTCAGTCTCACAGCTATTAGATCTTTTTAAAAAGCCCAGGCTAAAAAACGTAAAGGACCACAATGGATTTAAAAAGATCATAGTGGAATAGGTCAAGAGACAGTTTGTTAGCTATATTGGGAGAGATCAAGAGCCCCAGTTATAGGGAAACGGAAAATGAGCGAAAGATATCCAATTTTTAGTACTTTAATCAAATTAAACAATACTCTCTCATTCGCCTTTCTTAAGACTTCCTCCTTTTTATCCTATCCGTCCATAGTATGCAGACATTCTTTGCAGGATATGTTTAATATCCTTAACCCCATGCTATTAAACAATATGGACAACCAACATCATTGAACTATACTATAGCAAAGATTAAAAGAAAGATTGCAATAAATAAAAGCGATTTATATTTGAAAAAAAGCTTGTTTTTCTTATTTGTTCTTGCTTGTAATATTCGGGTGAAGTATTATCTTTTAAAAAGCGAATTTTTTCTTATTGCCATGCTTTTATATCTTTTTGCATTTATCTGCAAACCGTGTGTTTTTCCTACATTATGTTTTCCTTATTTAGCAGCAACTGCATATAATGTTCGTTATCTGTAATTATTCCGTTGTCGTTAGCGTTATCTTTAGAACATTCTCCACGTAAGAGTTGAATAGCACAGAAGACAAAATACACCTCTGTAGTTTCCCCTTAAAATTTCAAATTCCTCTGTGTTGGTTGACATGAGGTTTTTAGCCTCATTTGTGCTTTTTGGTTCCAATAGAGATTCTGTATAACATATCTTTTTCATCAACGGTAGAGTTGTGTAGCACTTTTATGATTGCGTCGTGTTTAACGATGTCAAACCCTTTTTCATAATCAAGGAATGTAATGAGTCTTTTCTTTCGTTGGTTTTTTTCTCTTTCAACTTTCTGAATATTCTTGGGTGAAGAAATACTTGAAGCACTTGACGCGATAAGAAGACCCGTTGGTGGTCTTTGCATTTTGCCGCTCTTTGTGACTAAAGCTAATAAAGCTAATTGAATATGACCGGTATTGTATATGGCATTGCAAATTGTTACCAACATGTCGATGTTGTCGTCTTCCAAGAGTTTTATGGCTTCCGTAGTAATACCATCCAGTCCAAAACCCTCTCCCAACTTTGCTACTCTTATAGCATACTCCACCTTAGCACAAATAATAGCAGACAGCTAGCAAATAATAGACAGTAGAGACATTAAAATCATCTGTAACCTCTATTGGAATCAAACAGCAAAAGTGAAAGTTGAAAACGAACTGACCAAGGATATCCAGATTCGCCGTGGGGTCCGCCAAGGGTGTATTTTATCACCCTTGTTATTCAATTTATACAGTGAAGCCATCTCAGAATTAGCGCTTGCCGAGATCAGTGAGGGCCTTATAATAAACGGTGAGCCACTTAATAACATAAGATATGCTGACGACATTGTCCTTTTGGCAGGAACACTAGAAGAACTGCAACACCTTGCTGAACAACTAAATATATATTGCAACGATTATGGACTAAAAATCAATTTGAAGAAAACAAAGTTCATGGTAGTTACAAAAGCACAAAACATCAAAGTTAAGCTAGTACTAGACAATACAGAAATTGAACAAATATCTTCGTACAAATACCTTGGAGCATGGATCACAGAAGATACTGATCAGACAAAAGAAATAAGATGCCGCATTGAAATTGCGCGGCCAACTTTTAATAGAATAAGAAAACTTTTTTGTAATCGCGATATCAATATATCGCTCCGGATAAGAATGCTTCGATGTTATATTTTCTCTACCCTTTTGTATGGAGTTGAAGCTTGGACACTTAAAAAATCCAACATTAAAAACCTAGAAGCATTCGAAATGTGGTGTTACCGACGCATTTTGAAAATATCATGGATGGATCGCAAAACAAACGAACAAGTTCTCGAACAACTAGGAAAACAATGCGAAGTTTTAAATTCCATAAAGATCAGGAAATTGGAATACTTGGGGCACATCATGAGAGGTGAAAAGTACGAACTACTAAGGAATATAATGCAGGGTAAAATCAAAGGTAGAAGAAGCGTAGGAAGACGTAAAATCTCGTGGCTACGCAATCTCCGTGAGTGGTTTGGATGCAGTTCAATTGAACTATTCAGGCGAGTAACCAATAAAATTATAATTGCCAGAATGATTTCCAATCTCCGATGGGAGTGGAACTTGAAGAAGAAGTATATGGGTCTGTGAAAAGAAATATTAACAACATTGTAATAACGTAGAGCTTAATAGAAAACATTAAAGTTAATCTGGCGTAACAGGTTTGGACAATCAATAAATCCATGTATGGTATTATATATATATTTATATATATATATATATATATATATATATATATATATATATATTTATATATATATATATATATATATATAAATATAGCTCCTAACATATCGCGATAGTTGTTTAGTGAGGGTAAAGATAATTGTTGTTCGATACGGGAATAATCATGATTTTCAATACTAGTGTGGACATGGTAAGCACAATATCTCAAAAATTTATGCTGGACTTTTTTTGTGGTATCAATATTGTTCTGAAAATAGGGTGACGAAATAACTAAAGAGTATTCCAAAATAATATCTAACTAAGCAACAATACACTAATCTTGTTAAATCAATGAAGAAATACTTGCAATTCCTAGTAAAGAAACCAAGAAGCTTAGATGTTTTTATTGAAATACCGTTTATGTGGTCACAGAAAGTAAGCTTATCATATAAAGTAACACTAAAATATCCCGAGAAGTGTGGCTTTTCTGAGGAACTCCAGATGTTACTGAGGTACTGTCGGACAGATAACAACCTTTCTTGATTCTTTGACTTTTCCCAGATGTAGAGTTTTTAATCCATTCAACAAACCTGATATGAAAGCCTACATTAATTAATTTGCCCAAAAGTATTTGGTGATCTACACGATCAAATGCTTTGGAAAAATCTGTGTGTATTGCATCTACCTGTGTATTGCATCTTCATTTGAGATAATATATCAGATTGATAGCAAACCAAGTTTGTTACAGTAGATTTTTGCTATGAACACCATGTTGTGATTGAGATATTAAGCCTTTACATAACCAAGAAAGTTGACTTGGTATACGATAGTCGAAGAGCTTAGGGATTGCAGATTGTATACAAATGCTAAGATAATTTTTAGTATTGTCTTTCTGGCCATTTTTAAATGTAGAAACAACATAACTTTCTTTCCATAAAGAAGGAAACATTAGGGACTTCATCTGCACTAGCAGTAAGCTTATTGGGTAGCTCATTTATGCCATTAAAAATATCAGTCATGGTACTCAACTTCAATCTTTGTTAGAAGGAAAGTACAAAGGAAAAATTAGTATGGGTAAAAAACGTGGGTTATTAACTAAGAGAATGAACCCATATAACAAAAAACAACTCATTCTCAAGCTCAGGATATACATAAAATTCCCATATTGATTTGGTATCGGTAATAATTGGGTATTTTTTTAATTACTGACTAATAAAAATAATAATAAGCAGTCTTATAGTAGAAACTTAGTACTCAACCTTTAGGACTCAATTTGTTTTGTTTACGTATCTAATATAATTTTATCATTAAAACAATTTTAGATTTAAATCTTATTATATTAATAGTTAAGAAGTACATTTACAATATTTTGTAATCTTTGTTTCTCAAACCGTAATCTTTGTTCAACAAAATTATTCGACTGATAATATAATATTATATAACTCTATTTCAAAATATTATCTTATCTTATTATTGTTTTTAGGTGACTTCATCCCCTGTAACTGGAGAAGTATCTGCGGATGATGACTTAATAGTTAATTTAAACAATTTAGGCAAAATCCGGGGTCATATTCTTCAAAGTGCGGACGGAAAGGATTTTTACGCTTTTCAAGATATTCCTTATGCGGAACCTCCTGTAGGAAAGAACAGACTTCAGGTAAGAATTTATTGTATATATATATATTATATATATATATATATATATTTATATATATATATATATATATATATATATATATATATATATATATATATATATATATATATATATTCGGTTTTATAACATCTTACGACGTTGTCCGACTCCCAAACGCCACAGTATTCTGTCTTGAGTTAGGTCTTCGTCCAGATTTCGAGCGCTAATCGCTTGCCTAACTCCCAGGTTCCAGCTCTGTGCTGGTCTTCCTCGTTTTCTCTTGTCTGGGGGTTGCCACATCATTGTTTTTTAGGCAATCTTTCGTCCCCCCTTCGGCTCACATGCCCATACCATATAAGCTGTTTTCTCTCAATATCCTCAACTATAGTGCCCTATATACCCATTTGCTGTTTTATCACTTCAATCCGTATTCTGTCGGCTCTTGATATTCTCATAGATCTTCTGATGGCATCCATTTCCGTGGCTTCGACATTTTTCTTTAAAATTAATTGTTATTTTGACAAATGTTATTTGAAGAATTTATTGACAATACGCTTTTGTCCTGTATTAATTCAAGTATTTTGTATTTTTGAAGTTGGACTTAAATAATTTTACTTCTTTATAGTATCTAGCCTTTAAAGTTCATTTAGTGATTAATATTTTTCTTTTTGTTCCTTCTAGTTCTTAATAAGTCTTCTTTTTTTTCCATTTTTTTTAAATTAATTTTTAAATTTCAGAATTATTTAGTTTACATGTCAAGGTCTATAAAATCAAGCCTTTCCACAGAACTTCCACCTAGTGGTTTCTGCCCAACGGCTTCCACTCGAAACCATCTAGATCAGATGCTAAAAATTGTAGAAGCTTTCTTAAATGCTATTAGTATGCACTTTGGACTAAACAAGACCGTATAGTCAGAAAAAAGATTCAGCCCGGAGCTTTCATATGCAAAATATGGCCAAAGCATCGAGGCAATGGGTCAAAATATGTACAAATAACTAGGAGTAAAGCAAGCGAGAAAAATTGACCATAAACTAATGAAAATCGAACTAACTTTTAAGTTTGTGCAAAGAGTAAGACAGCTTAATCGGTTATAACTTAATAGCTAAAATCTGTTTAAGGCATTAAATACGTACGCCTGTTCAACTTTTAGCTACGCATTTGGTATTATAAAGTGGTCAAAAACGGATATAGAAAAGCTCCAGCGGAAAGTAAAAAAACTTCTCACAAAGGCGCCAAAATAACATCCACGCAGTGCAGTAAAGAGCACAACATTACCGAGATATCTAGGGGAAGGGTTTAATAACCTATTTTCAGCTGCAGTTTGGGACATCTACTTTACATCGAGCAATTTGCGCAGTAGATGATACAATGCCGCTTGAACTTAGGGAACAAGAATTGTGCTTAAACCAACTGAATATGCAGAAAAAAATGCGCACCTGGATGAGCAAACATATGCATGGGCGACATCTCAATGAGATCAGCTAAAAGTATGTCGACAATACAGCGTCGAATACAGGTTGACATCAGGAAAGATGTTTCTAGAGACTGAGGGTGTTCTACTTGCCATTTAATAATATATTGTTAAATATCCTCAAGTCCAAAATGGCAAATGCCGATATGGATGCTAAACCAAAGAAAATAATTAACAACTTACTGAGGGCTGCCAGGCGTTTGTCGGTACTGATTATAAAAACGCTTTGACTCAGTAGGAAATATTGTCCACCAAGAACTAGCTGACAAACTGGGACTTCTCCAAACCGACCATCTTTCTTACTATCAATAAGTCTTTGACAGAATACTTAAATATAACAACTACAAGCTATACTGAGACCGCACTCTGCTCAAATACTAACCAGTGGGACATAATGGTACATAAACTTCCTAGGCAAACAACAGTTATTGATGTGACGATACCTAACACCAATAATTTGCGTGTTATATACAACGAAAAGATCGAAAACTATAAAGATCTAGAAATACAAATTAAGTGACAATGGAGAATGAAGAGTACCCAGATAGTACCTATTATTTTATCTTCATCTTCATCTTAAACAGTTGGGTCTAGATGAACATCTTTATAAGGCCATGTAGAAAGCTGTACTTCTCGCGACATCCAGATGTGTACGAACATTTGTGGGAGATACTCCAGGAGATCAAGTCACCTAGGGCTCGATAACATGGAAAGAGTCCTACCAGAGCTCAATCCATTTGATACCGCAGGTATCTGTGATGAGTGACTTTCCCCTTACAGGGACTGTGAGCCAAATTGCTAAATCTGGATAATAATAATTATGTGTAATTCAGGAGATAAATATTTTTATTTTCGGCGAATATTTAAAAATTGGTACTTTACATATTGAAATCAAAATTTTATCTCGAAGAATTTACAATATCACTTAATAAGTGTGTTTTGTGATATAATGTAAAGTGTGGTTTTTATATTGCCACTTGATGTTTGACAATACTTGATATCTAAATTAAGTAAACAATCTTCAATTCAATAAACAATCTCGTAATATTTTTTAATTGTAATAATATGTGATATTGCATCTTCTGCTTCAATTTCAGCTCCTGTCGGAAATAGGAAATCATTCTGGCAATTATAAATTTATTGGTTACGCGCCTTAATAGTTCAATTGAGCTGCATCCAAACCATTCACGAAGATTGCGTAGCCACGACATTCTACGTCTTCCTACGTTTCTCCTGCTTTTAATTTTACCCTGAATATAATATTCCTTAGTAGTTCGTATTTTTCACCTCTCATAATGTGGCCCAAGTAATCCAATTTCCTGATTTTTATGGAATTTAAAACTTCCAATTGTTTTTCTAGTTGTTCGAGAACTTTATTTTCTTCAAATTTATTTTTAGTCCATAATCGTTGCAATATATATTTAGTTGTTCAGCAAGGTGTTGCAGTTTTCTAGTGTTCCTGCCAGAAGGACGGTGTTGTCAGCATATCTTATGTTATTAAGTGGCTTATCGTTTACCGTTTACCGTGATATCGCATAATAGATAATCTATCTATCTAATTCGCCTTCTTCGGTTCATCTTTGGACATAGGCCTCCCCAATCCTTTTCCATTCTTCTCTGTCTGTCGCTACAGTCATCCATCTAGAGCCCACGTGCTTCTTGATATCATCTGCCCATCTTATTTGGGACCTTCCTCTGCTTCGTTTATATTCATACGGTCTCCAACTTATAAGAATTTTATTGCATCGGTCTTCTTTTTATCTTATATTGTGTCCGGCAAATCTCCATTACAATTTTGCAACTTCTTTTCTAACATCCCTCACTTTTGTTTTCTCTTTTATCAACTCGTTTCTCTTCTTATCCATTAGTCTTATGTGCAACATTTGTCTTTCCATTGCTCTTTGGGTTTTTATGATTTTGTCCATGTTTGCTTTTGTAGATGTCTACGTTTGGGAACCATAAGTAAGAACAGGGAGTACGCATTGATTATATACTTTGGTCTTAAGATGCTGTGGATATCTTTTGTTTTTAAGAATGTAGCTTAGTTTTGCCAAATGCCGCCCATGCCAGTCTAACTCGTTTCTTGATCTCTGCTGTTTAGTTATCTTTGTTAAGTTTTATAGTTTGACCAAGATATATATATATATATATATATATATATATATATATATATATATATATATATATATATATATATATATATATAATCCTTAACTTGTTCTATTTCATCTTGTCCGATTCTCATTGTGATGTCTTCATCTGTATTTGTTATAGTTTTGGTCTTGCTGTAATTCATATTAAGGCCTATCTTTTCCGCTTCTACGTCCAGTTCTTTCATCATTTCAAATAATTCTTCTTTTTTATCGGTTATCAATCTTCAAGAGCCTGATTGAAAAGTTTCGGTGATATTAGTTCCGTATATATGTGGTCAATTCGGCTGTTAATCAAAGAACTTTTCACTGCCCAATTTTCGACACTGTCGAAAGCCTTTTCGAAATCTATGAACGCCATATATAGAGGAATTTGATATTAATTTGCTCGTTCTATAAGTATTTTCATACTTAGTAAATGGTTACTTGTGCTGAATCCCTTTCTAAAACCAGCTTGTTCTTTCGACTGGTATCCATCGAATTTTGTCGTCAATCTATTGGTTAAAATTTTTTTTAGGAGTTTATACATTACATTGAGGAGTGTTATAGGACGGTAGTTTTTTATATCTGCTTTATTCCCGTTCTTATGTAGGATAATGGTTACTGATTTCTTCCAGTTGTTTGGGATTCTTTTTTCTTTTAATATCTTATTAAAAAGGGAATGTAGAGTATTAATTACCACTTTTCCACCATATTTCAGCATCTCTGCAGTTATTCCATTCTTTTCCAGGCGATTTGTTGTTTATATGTGTTTATATATGTTTATATATGTTGATAATAGATAATAATGCCTGCATAATCGTTTAGCTTCTCTTCTGTTGGTTTTATAGTGCTGTTTACTTTTTCTGTATAACTTTATTATTATTATTTTCCATTTTTGCGTTGTTCCTTTCCGCTAAGATTCGATTTGCAGTCCTTATCAAACCACTGTTCTTTCTTTTTTCTAAATTTTTTTCACTATTATTTTTACTACCTACTTATCTTTAAGCTTCTCTGCTTAGTATTTTTCCGCTGTTTTCCTTTTTTTGATTATTTGGGAATTTCTTGCGTAAGTTTATTGTATACTATTGTCAGTATATGATTATTCTCAGCAACTGCTCAAAAATCTGCTTAAATTGTGTACTTGTTTAACAGCGTAGGGTCCTTTTGGCACCACAGGACCATATTGTTCAAACTAAACTTGACTAATGGCTAATTTTGTCCCTGTTTTAATGTATATTAATATGATAATTATTTTATGATGCAAATCCTAATAAGGTTTGTTGTGTAGGTAATATATTACGATTTATTTTTCACAAAACGAATTTTTTGACGAAATTTCGAAAAAATCATTTTAATATTATTGTTGCGTTATTATTTGAGTATTTTTATAATAGACAATGGTATAATTGTAAAATAAACACATATATTGATATTTTTAGCCCTCTAAACCTCATGGTCCATGGGAAGGAATTCTGAATACAACAGAAAATAAATATGTCTGTCCACAACCAATCGGCACGAATTCAAATGAAGACTGCTTGGTTTTGTCTGTATATACACCAGTGGTAAGTCAATTTTACCACAATATACAGTAATCATAAATCAAATGTTACAAACGACATTTTCTCACAAGGGCTGTAGGGGAACCTGTAACTTCACAGTTTTAGTTTGATAACATTTTAAAGTATGTATGTATACATTTTGTACTAATAAATCTTTTTGCAGAAACCCAGTTCGGGTACATCATTACCAGTATTCTTTTGGATTCCTGGTGGAGCATTTATGGTTGGTAGCGGTCAAATATCATCTTATAATCCAAGATTCTTGATTGATTACGACATAATAGTTGTAACAATAAACTATCGACTAGGTGCACTTGGTAAGCATTTATATTTCATTAATTCCACTCCATATCGATAAGTGGTACAATACCGTTAAAAAAAATTAAAAGATTTCACAACAAAAAAAAAGTTTTTATTATCTTATTAATTTTGTTATCTTATTATTATCTAGTTTATCTCTTACAATGTATGACCTCGGTTTCTTCATATTCTTCTTCTTCTTAACGTGCCTATCAAGTCCCCTTGACGTTCGCGATTAACATGGCGAAACTGTCTCTGTCTCGAGCTATTCTAAAGAGTTGCTCAGCTTTCTTTATTCCTGTATCTTCAATCAAGAGGCCTGCTTTCTACCAATTCCTCTGCGTCCTTCGATTTTACCCATCATAATAAGTTAAAGAATATTATATCGCTCTCCCTTACTACGTGTCCAAAATAGGCCATCTTTTTACATTTGATGTTATCAAGCAGTTCGCGAGCAGCATTTGCTTTCTCAAGGACTGCCACATTTGTCAGCATAGCTGTCCATGGAATTTTTAGTACACGTCTGTGCAGCCACATTTCAAAGGCCTCCAGACGATTAATGGTGGATATTTTTAATGTCCATGCTTCGACACCGTATAAGAGGACTGACCAAATGTAGCATTTAACCATGCGCTTTTGAAGTTGAAGTTGCAAGTTATCATTACAGAAGAATGACCTCATTTTTAAAAATGTCGTGCAGGCTATCTCGATTCTATATTTTATCTCTTGATGGATTTAGTTGTTCAGTAATATGGCAACCAAGATAATTAAAACTGGACACTTTTGAATTATATGACCATCAACATATAATCGTGCATCTTGATGTGTTAAACGGCTAAACACCATGTGTTTTGTTTTTGAACATTTTATGTTTAGGCTGAACTCTTTTCCCAATGTATTAATGGCATTTAAAAGGCATTGTAATCCATTCATGTCGTCACTTAAAATAACTGTATCGTCTGCATATCTGATTGTATTTATCAGAATTCCATTAACTGTCACGCCTTATTTCAAATTATGCAGCGCTTCTTTAAATATTCTATCTGAATATAAATTAAATAACAGTGGGGATAGTATACAACCCTGTCTGACACCTCTTTGTATTTTACATATTTCTGTTGATTTTCCGTTTATGCAAGCTGTCGCTGGTTGATGCCAGTATAACTTTTCTATGAATCGTATGTCTTGACTATCAACTCCTTTATCTTTTAATATTGTAATTAATTTGTGATGCTGTACTCGATCAAAGGCCTTTTCATAGTCAATAAATACAGCAAAGACGCCTTTACCTCAGTCTCGACATTTCTGCAGTAATACATTTAGTGCAAAGAGGGCGTCCCGAGGTCCCAGTTCATTTCTGAAGCCAAGTTGTGTTTTATCCTGGTCTTCTTCACATTTATCTCTGATTCTACTGTGGATGATGCGTAGAAATATTTTCAAAGTGTGGCTCATAAGGCTTATCATTCTCTAATCGCTTCAGTTTTTCGGACGTTGTTTCTTTGGTAGTGTTATGAATTCGGACTTTAACCAATCTTCAGGGATATCACCAGTCGAATAAACATAATTGAAAAGTTTGACCAGTATTCCAATGTTCTCCTCATTTATAAGCTTTAACATATCTGTCGGTATATCATCAGGTCCAACGGCTTTCTTGTTCTTTGCTAACTTTATAGCATGCAGTATTTCTAATTTTAGTATTTCTGGTCCTTCACCTTCAAACTAAAGTCTCCAGTTCTTCGGGTCTATCATCATTATACAGTTCACTTATATAATTACACCAGGTTGTTCGAATTTCATGTTCGTCTATTATCATTTTTCCCGACGAATCGGTTATAGTATGTGGAGTTTTCTTATGATAAAGACCAGATACTTCTCTAACTTTTTTAAACATAATAAACGTATCATGTTTTTCATTCAATTTTTCTAATTCCTTGCATTTATCCTCCATCCATTTTTCTTTAGACACCTTTCATATTCTTCATATTCTATTGAATTCTTTTTCAATAATATATCCTAGTAAAATTTATCTATTTTTGTTTCGACTAAACTTCTTCTTAAAGATGTTCTATTTCCATAACGATTATTTTGGACTCATATTCGTTAGTTTATAATTGCCAAAGTAAACATTGCAATTGCAATTGCGTTGTGATTTTGTGATTCAAAATTGGGTAAAATTCCAAAAATCTCTTAATATCATATGGTAATCTGGGTAATCTACTTAAAATACAATATTGCTCAATTTTCTTCCAGGTTTTCTAACAACACTTGATGAAACTATCCCCGGTAACTTAGGACTCAAGGATCAACTTTTGGCACTAAAATGGGTACACGATCACATCCATCAATTTGGAGGCGATCCTCACAAAGTAACAGTAGGTGGAGAAAGTGCTGGAGGCATGTCAGCTGGATTTCATTTACTCAGTAGAGCATCTAAAGGTATGTTAAGTAAACAATACTTTTTGTATTGTCGAAATAAAAGCTTCAAGACATCGTCTTGTAGCTTTTAACAAGCTCGGATTTTGCGGTATCCTTAATCACCATCGATGAAAAGTATTTTGTCTCTATATGTCTTCGTAGAGTTCTCAACAAGAGTGTACTGGTACATTACTTAATAATAGTTCCCAGATAAAGAATTCCTTTTATTTTACTTCGACTTTTTCAAAGTATTCGTGATGATTTGAATTAGGAGAAGAACTACCAGTACATTCATCGAATATATTTCAACAGTTTTTGATAATATATAAGATGTAATACTGTAATTTGTTTAGTCTTTTTAAAGACCCTGACCAACAGATGCTATATTAAGCTCAATCTTCTTCTTAAATATTTAATTATATGGAGAAATATAAGGTTAAACCTCTGCAAAACAATAATATGCACAGTCCTAACATATGGACTCCTAACAGAGATCTGGACTCTCACAAAACAAAAAGTAATGAAAACATGTTAGGATGTTTCGAAAGAAAAGTACTAAGGTAAATCTGTGGAGTGAAGAATAAAAATAGAGTGTGCAGAAAACGATATATCTTCAATGGAACAAACAGACCCAACTAGAAAAATGATCTATGATAGACACATTGGTCAGAAAAGAGAAAAGAAAAAAGAGAAAAGAGAAAGACTCAGAGCACAAAGTTAGTTGATAAGATCAATGAAAATATGAGAAATAAATATGGGAGTATTTGTTTAGTGAAGTAAGACGATGGATAGTGACGACTGGAAAGACAGCCCACGCAGGACTGTAAAGCTAAAATAATGATTTTGATGGATTGCAGAATTATTTCAAATTTACAGCGCAATGACGGATCGCAATTAATTGGTTTTCTATTTTTAGGCCTTTTTAGGGGAATCGTTCAACAAAGTGGATCATCAATCTCGAGTGTATTTTATCCATCAAACGACAGAGAGCTGGCATTTGAATTTGGCCAAACATTAAATAGTTCATTTAAATCAAACAAATCAAGTGATTTGTTAGAACTATTACAACAAACATCTTACTCAGATCTACTAGCTCTTAATAATAAGGTAAATATCCATTTTTGTTTATTATTGCTATTAATACCACTAGCTAATGTTGTTGAATGTGGCTTCATTATATTCGAAAAGTTCATTATTGAACTAGTTTTTACCTAATTCTTACCTGTCGTAAGTCCTGTCATCATCATCATCATCAGTAGCTCGACAACCCTTTATGGGTCCTGGCTTGTTCTAGGATTTTCCGCCATTCTGTTCTGTTCTTTGCTTTGTTTTTCCAGTTGGTAATCTTATCGTAAGTCCTGTACTTTTAAAAATAGTCAGCAACTTTTTTACAGGAAGTTCTTTTGCTAGGATACTTGCCCCCTATAACTAGGTTATTTTACATTTACCTAGGACATATGCTAGTTGGTTCTTCCATTCTGCATTTCTTGCACCGTCACAGATTTGTCCTTCCTATATTATAGATGTGCCCCTTCAGTTGACAATATCCACTTACCATATCTGTGACGATCTTCAGCTCTAGTCTGCTAAGATTTACTAAAATAGATAGAAAATTTTCAATACACTATAACTCTTCATCTGTTGTTAGCTTTTAGTGTCAGGGTGCTAGCAAAGGCTCCTGCCAAAATGTGTAATTCCATTACGGAATTGCACATTTGGGAAAGACGGGAAAGTGATAGCCTTTAATAATGTCATTTCTGGATTTTAAAGAACTGACTTAATATTAGAATTATAATTAGAAGTGTAAAGATGTGTAAAGATTATTGTTTAGTGTTTGGTAACCCTCTTGTAGCACAGAAAATATAGTACCATGCGTCGTACATTTATTAGATAAAAAGCCAAACTGATTTTAAGACAAAATTTTGTTTTCAACGAGAAAGGACATACGTCTTTCAATAATTTTGGATAGTACCGGTAATAGGTCTGTAGTTGCAGGCATTCGATTTTCTCCACCCTTATAAAGAGAAATAATAGTTTGCTTCAGGCACTCTGAAAATGTACCTCTTTTTATCGAAATGACTAATTAATGAGAACAGGACTTCCAACACATTTTTATTGGAGAGTATGTTACTATATATATTAATAATACTGGCTTTTCTCCACCACCTTACAAACAGGTCAGACATTTGGTTTCAATTTCCAAGTTTAACACATTAATTTTATTTAGCTCCCGCATAGTTGTGGAATCCAGTTGATTTTATTACTAGAATAATTTCACCCATTTTTACTTACCACCAGGACAACTAATTGATAAACAGGACCGTTTAAACCTCGTGAGACAAATACCTTCTCCGCGTATTTTAACAGGTGATTTTAATACTTACAACAGTATTTGGGGTTCTGCATATGATGACAAAAGAGGACGTATTATTGAAGAATTAATAGATCAGTATAACTTATCACTGTTGAATGATGGAAGACCTACAAGATTCAATATACAAACAGGCGAATCAACTCCCTTGGACTTAACGATAGCAGATAATAACTTCTCTGCATTAATGACATGGGACAGATTAGACTACACTTATAATAGTGATCATTACCCAATAATAATCACCAATAACTTGTTCAAGCCCAAAAATGGAAAACACACCTCTAAGTGGAAAACGAAGGATGCAAATTGGACATTATTTGAAGATATTGTAGAAAAAAATGTCGCAAACTGTAAAATATCCAACAATATTGACACAGACATAGAAACCTTCTTCAGCATCATCTTAGATGCAGCCGAGGTAACCATTAAAAAAACTGCACTTGTTACAAAACATAAACCAGTTCCTTGGTGGAATGAACAATGTAAGACATCGATCGAGGCTTCCAAAAAAGCCTTTAACAAATACAAAAGACATAAAACACTTAACAATAAAATAGAATTTCAAAAACTTAAAGCTAAAGCTCAGTTAACAATAAAAACTTCAAAAAGAAATTCATGGGCTCAATTTGTGTCCAGTATAAACAGTAGGACCCCTATGTCTGAAATGTGGAAGAATGTCAAAAAAATATCTGGAATACCGGCTTATAACAAAATCACTCAACTAAAGAAAGATAATAGAATAATCACAGATGACCTAGAAATAGCAGAAGAATTTGCTATTACATATAAAAATAGATCTAATACAAGCAATTATAATAATAATTTTATCAACTTTAAACAGAAGGAAGAATGCAATGTAATTATACCGTTTGTAGATGATACAGATGCCTTAAACGCCAAATTTAATATAAATGAATACAAAGATGCATTAAACTCATTCAAAGAGACTAGTGAGGGTCCAGATAATATCCCAATGGTTTTTCTGAAACATTTACCGGAGAATGCACACAATCATCTTTTTAACATATTTAATATTATTTGGACAGAACAGAAATTTCCAGCAGCGTGGAGAGAGTCTATTATAATACCAATATTAAAACCAAAATGTCCCAAAACAGATCCTGAATCTTATAGACCAATTGCACTAACATGCACTGCATGCAAACTGTTAGAAAAAATGGTCAACCGTCGTCTACTCTGGACACTTGAAGATCGAAATATTATTATTCCAGAATAAAGTGGATTCCGACAAAATAGATCAACTATAGACAATATTATAGACCTAGAAAGCAGTGTACATGAAGCCTTCTCCCTTAATCAAAAATGTATTGGAATTTTCTTCGACATTGAAAGAGCCTTTGATACAGCTTGGCGCCACCGTATCATCAGATTACTGTACGATTTAGAAATTAAAGGACATTGCCTTGCATTTATAAAAAATTTCTTATATAAAAGGTATATGCAAGTTAGAGTAAATGGTTACTTGTCGTCAAAAGTGGAATTAGAAAATGGAATTCCTCAGGGATCTGTTATAAGTCCTACGCTATTTATAATTGCCATAAATGATGTTCTACGAAATTTAAAACCACCACTTAAAGGTCGCTTATATGCTGACGATCTCGTAATATTTGGTCAAAGCAAAAACTTAAACAACCTCTCACAACTTGCACAGAGTTTCTTGTTAGATATTGAAAAATGGTCACAGGAAACTGGATTTATCTTTTCAACAACTAAAACTAAATATATAGTATTTTCTAAAAACAAAGTCAGTACACCAATCTCATTATATCTATATAACCAATCACTACAACAAAAAGATTCGCTAAAATTACTAGGAGTTACTTTTGACAGAAAGTTGAATTGGAAAGAACATATCAATAATCTAACATGTAAATGTTACAGAAGATTAAATTTACTAAAAATTCTAGCACATAAGAATTGGGGTTCAGACAGGAGTACATTGTTAATTATATACAGAACTATTATACGATCACAGCTAGACTACGCGGCTATAGCTTACGACTCAGCATCGAAATCAGTACTTAAAAAGCTGGACACTATTCACAACACAGCACTCAGAATATGTTTGGGAGCCTTTTGTACAACACCTGTTGAAAGTTTACTTTGCGAAGCAAATGAATTGTCGTTATATGATAGAAGAGCTTACCTTAGTCTAACGTATGCAACAAAAATTAAGGGTAATGTAAAAAATCCTGTCTATAGAAATACTTTTACTGATAATTTCCCAAACCTTTATGCAAATCACAGTTCTGCTAAACCTTTCTATAAAAGAATAAAAGAATATTTGCATCTGTTTGATATTGTTATACCTGAATGTCTTCCATACACATATGACCATAATCCACCTTGGATTCAAAACATACCATCATATAACTTTGAACTTACATCATTTGATAAAAACTCCGCTAATCATGATTTAATTATTTCCCATTTTAGAAAAATCCTTAGTCGTTATAAAAATCATACCCAGATATACACTGATGGTTCAAAATCATCCGAAGGTGTGGGAGCGTCTGTAGTAACGCCAGAGAAGGTCGTTAAATTCAAACTATCTAATGTTAGTACTATCTATACAGCTGAACTGTATGCTATCTATCGCGCCATAGAACTAATCAATCTAACAACAAACTGCAAATATATTATCTTATCAGACTCACTAAGTGCCATACAAAGCATCCGACAACTGTATCCAAAAAACCCGATTTAAAAAAAAATTAAAACGGTCCTTCTTCAAGCTTATATTAATCAAAATGAGGTAAATTTCATCTGGATCCCATCCCATATAGGAATAAAAGGCAACGATACTGCTGACCATAGTGCGAAAGACGCGATAGTGAGTGACGTTTCCGAAATCGTAAACACATCGGTATCAACGGATATAAAAGCTTATATAAAAAAATCAATCTTAAGTGCGTGGAAAAATAAATGGAATGTGTCGAATTCAAAATTAAAACAAGTGAAACCCAGCATAGAGGCATGGAATGTGTTACCTACGTCAAGAAGCCAAGAAATAATAATAACGCGCCTCAGACTCGGACATACTAGGTTAACACATGACTACTTAATTAAAAAGTGCGAACCGCCGCGATGTGAAACGTGCAATACGACACTAACAATAAGGCACATACTATGTGAATGTTCCCTCTACAATCAACAACGAAGCAACAACAAGATACCAGGAACACTTCTAGAAGCTCTAGGTGCAGACTGTAACTTTAATAATACTTTGAACTTCTTAAAAGACATTAATAAGTACCACAATATTTAATAATAAACCAAATTGTAATGCAGTAATTGTACATAATGTAATCCATTAATTTTTCGCTAATGGCCATTTGGTCGATGCGATTTTCTAAATAAAAAAAAAAAATAATTTCACCAACTAAGTTTAAAATCTAAGGTAATTTATAGATATTTAGCTTCACATGCTCTATGTACCACTTCCTAGTTAATAACTTCTAGTGTTTGGCTTATTAGATCAAAAGTATTAACAACTATGTTCTATTGAGTTAGTCTTAGTACTTATTCTTAAGAGTACCCTTTTTTTACTGATGTAATATACTTCTTCATGCGTTTCTGCAGATATAAGTTTGCAGATAAGCCCATTCGATTGCAATATTGCGAATGCAGTAAATTATCTGTAAGATATATATTCTTGATGTGGACATTAAAGATTTCTATTATTATAATAGTCAGATCTAGTCTTTTGTGTGATTTTGTCAGAATAAGGTATTTTAAAACGTCATCCCCTTTTTTTCAAGCTTTGAGTATATATCGAAGAGCATGTCTTTTGAAGAAGCCTTAGAAATATGAAATTTTTTGCTGCTTTAAAAGTTTAGAATGTTTTTATAGATGAACTCACCTGTCAAAGCCAAAGATCTGATCTAAAAACACAGGTCACCTCAGTTGTTATATTGTAAGTGTTCAACACTGTCATTTTGACTAACACATAAAAGACACCTTTTAATGATACGCAATAGTTTATTATTTACTGTGAGTGAACAAGTAGTTTTGCCAGTAACAAAATTGACTAGTTTAACTGATTTCAGTTTATTTTATTTAAAATTTTAAAAATTTCTTAGAACCTGTTGTCTCATTCTTAAGAACGAGCTTATGTCAAAGAAAAATAGTTAGATCTGAAGACAAAAAAATCACAAACTATAATTATAGAAACCTAATTTTTAACTTTTTTGATTAAATAGTTTATAGACGACAAGGAAGGTATATTGAGACAATATGAAAACATCTTTTCTTAGATTAAATAAACACACGATTATACTTTTACAGTAAATTTCAATACTTCTTCAAGAGTCAGATAATTGTTTAGTTTACATAAAATTATATTTCCAATTCACTAAAATATTTCTAATATAAAGTATTTATTTTTTATTAGTTTCTTTCTGGAAAAACAGCAGGATTTATGGATGCATTGACATTTAAACCTATTATCGAAGATGACAACGATGATGCTTTTATTACTGAACCCATGTTTAGTTCTGTAATGAACCGTGAGTTTAATTTAGTTCCAATTCTTATCGGCTATAACTCCGAAGAAGCTCTGTCTTTCTTAGGGCGTAAGTATATGTTTTTATTACCTTTATTATATTTATTCGGAAAGCATCATTTGCACCGTTAGACACATCAAATGAACTAAAATAGGAGTATTTGCAACAGTAAAGAATTATATCATTTGGCACTAGTTTCCATAGAAAAAATATCCATAAAAGGGTGTGGAAAATTCGGAAAAACAGAAAAAACAAACAAAATTAATTATTTTTTGGGCTCAAAAATATAAGAAACAGACATAACCAATATTAGAGCGGATCGTGGACAGAATTCTAATTTCCATCCTTATCTTGTGCAAAACTACAACATAAGATCGAGACATTGGCAAATAGGTCAAACAGACGACAGAAAAAATGTTTAAAATATTTCGCTGACAAAACCGTCCACTGTAGAACTATATAGACTTATTTTTTGGAACAATGAACAATACACAATAATCGGCGTTGGGCTGAAAGTGCATTTTAGGTATGATGTCTAGACATTGCGATAATTATATTCAAAAGACAAAGCCTCTTTGTAAAAGGTTGTCTATTAATTAGAAAATTCATTCTCCTACGGCCGCCACCGTTCAGACAATACACTATAAATCAGTTTTAAACACATTTCACTTTTTAAAAGACAAATTTTTGATGCTCTGGATAAAAAGATATCTGGACAAAAAGCATCTAAAAATCACCAGATGGACTTAGAGTAAATATGATAGATCATTGTACTGTAGACTCAAGACACCAATCCGATATAGTAAACGTTCGCACCGGAAGAAAAGCAAATGCGATCAAGGGACAAAATTTTAAACATTTTGTAACGAGAACGTTACTATAACATTCCGGAAACATTTTTTAAATAAATTTAAAATCTCAATCCTCTTAATGATTTTCTGAATCTTAAAAATTTAAGTTGGTATGAAACAGCGACACCAAGCGTCCAAGTTTGAAATCATAGTTTAGCTGGCTCAAATTGAGTATCCGAATCGCACTTCTGTTTGAACTTTGGTAGCAGAAACTTAAGTCCAAGGTAGGGGCCACGTGGCGTGGTTTTTGGAATCTAAGTTTTTTTTTATGAAGAAGTAATAAGAAGTTTTAGTTTGGGGTTTTTTGTTTGAAGTGTCCTATTTGGTTTATAGCCACTGTGAGCCGTAAGTATCCAAGTTATAAATAAAACGACAATAAAAAAAAGTCATCAGCCATTTTGAGATCCTGTATTGTCACGTTTCAATTCGATATACTTATCTGAACTTTTTCCATCCGTCATTAAGAAATATTCAACATCTAAATAGATAGTGTTAATTGATCTAAAATCATATGTATTTTAATTTTATTTCCCGGCCGTAAAACATAATTATCTATCGGTAAAATTGCTATTACCAGTATCGTTAAAATATTCTGTCTTATATCGCTCTTTATAATATAAAATAAATTCGTATCATATGCTTTTCATTAAAATTGTCGATATAATTAATCCATTTAAATTGTCAAACCATACGACGATCAAATTATCTATAAATCCATTAAGTTTTTTTTGCTCTCACAATTCATAAGTAACATTTATAAAACCTTTCAAGGTTCATAAACCTTGTTTTTTTTTCCTCCTCTGTAAAGTATAAGAAAAAACTCTAAAAGAAATGTTTTTTTAGCCTACCTTTGGGATTCCAACAGAAGTCGGGGGAAGAATTTGCTTTTGTTTTTTTTTTAAATTTGAATAAGAAGTGTCGATTAACTTGAAACCTAGTCCGGTTATACCTGGTTCCAGGCCTGTTTTTTTTCCTTGCCGTAGCTGCTCTCCAGAGGTCCAGATCTGACCTTCCGATTACGAAAATCTTAGGAAGCCAGCGGGAATTATCTCCCTTAAAATATAGTAAATCTAGATTAAGTTTATTTCTTAGATTAATTTTTTTACCTATGATATTTTTTGTATAAATTTTTTGTATATTTAACTTCTAGTATTTCATATAATAATAAGAGTCGTCATTTTTTTTAATAATTTATTGAATAATATTTAAATACAAATTGTCAACTACAGGTAGAGGTTTTTAAGTCCTCCCTTCTAACTCACTTGTATGGTTTCTTGTGTACACATTTAATCAGAGAGTTATATTTTTTAGATTTTATTATCAATATATATTTAAACGTTTGGACACTTATCTCATCAAGATAGTGTCCTTATTACTTGGTACTCTTATATTCAATAAAGCCAGAATACAGAGTTGCATCTCTGAGGCAAATAAATTACCTTTTTAGGTCAGTTATTACCATTTTTTTTCCATATTTTATTATTTGTAAATTTAGATCATCCAGGATCAGTTGTATAACCAGGGCATTTATTTTTTGTATATAACTAGATTAGCTGTACATAATTGGTGGTGGGTATATTAAATTTAGATTGTATATATTTGGCTAGGGATTAAAGTTTTGGTGAAAACTAAATATTTCAATTCATACCTATATCCTTTCTTTATTTTAGCAAACAGCTTTACAAGATACCTTGGAAAGTTTATGTAAATACTTTCCTGGCGCCCACTCACATTTTGGAGCAACTTCTATAATCATTTTTATTTATCTTATTTGTATACCTATAGTTTTTTTACTAACTCGTCATTCATCTTCTAATTCTACGGTCTCTGTAGGGCATGCAAATTGGCCGAATTCTCCTTTGAGTGTCAAGTAGTCACTCTCCGGCACCTTCTGCTAGCCAGCTTAAATTATATGTTATCATTTCCATTATCCTACACGTTTTGTTACATTGGCGTGCCACAGCACAAAGCACTTTTGTTACATTGGCGTTTCCCAACGTGGTGCCTATTTTCAGTTAAGACCGTAACTTATAGTTATTTTTTTTTCATTGCATAACATTCCTTATTATTTTTTATTCTTTCTTGTTGCTCTTTATAACTTATTTATTAATTTTTCTTTCTTTATTTAATTTACTATTTTAAGGTATACTTGTATTGCTATAGTTACATTTACATTTAAACCCTCACCTATTTTGATATCATTGTGTACAGTTGACTAGTTATTTACTATTTTTGTGTTATAAAAATTTAATAATTTAGACATTGCTATCTTTATATATATTAGCCAATCTTGGTGTATTCTTTGTATTTAATTGTTGATTGACCATATAATTGTTGAAATCATTGTATGTTATTTTAGGGATCCAGCTTTAAATATTTCGTTTAACTTTACCCTTTTTTTAAATACTTATACATATATATTTTTTTTGAATAACTTTAGTTCTTTGATTGATTTTGTGGTGTGTTGGTACATATTCATATTTATTTATATTTTTTTTTTCGGAAACTTTATATTATTCTTCGATTGATTTTGTGGAGTGTTAGTACATTATTTCCTTTGTCTATTCTATCTATTCATCAGCTATTTTTTATTTTCACAATGTCTACATTCAAGGTAGAACATTTGTTAGTGAAGGAATTGGATTATGAGTTAAGGATTAGGGACATCAATATTGATGAGTCTTCCAATGTTGATCTAAAACGCAAAATATTGCGTGGAGCTTTAAGGCAGGAAGAAGGAAACAGGAGTTTCCGACAGATTTCCGCCTCAAATATTCCTTTTGAGGTCCAACAACAGGAGATTGAAGAGACTGTGGATGATTTGGCGAAAAGGATAGCCGATTTTAGAGGGACTGTCCAAGATAGCCTATATTCCAGGCTAATATCACGCCTAGCTCACATCTCAGGTCGTGTTCATTTATTATCTGTTTCAGATGAGGCACAACAAATCTTCCAACGCTCTGTTTCTGTCCGAATCTTAAGTCTAGAGGGCGAACTTGATTCTCGAGTGAGTCCAATAGCAACATCAACTCCAATCTCTTCTGTTCAAGCAGCAAATGCATTTCTGCAACCCAAACCTGTTCAGGTTCATAAATGGGGCATTACATTTTCTGGTGAAGGTCATTACGACCAGGTTATTTCCTTTTTAGATCGAGTGGAATGTCTTCGTGTATCGAGAGGAGTGAGTGAAGATGATCTTTTTGCAGCTTCTGCTGAATTGTTTACAGGTGCAGCTTTTACGTGGTTTAGAAACAATCGCAATAATTTTTCTAATTGGTCTGATTTGGCTCAGAAACTTAAGTCTGATTTTCTACCATATTCTTTTCAAGATGACCTTCTAGACCAAATCAAAAATCGTAAACAGAAGCCAGACGAGTCTGTTACGATGTTCATTAATACTATTTTAGGTATGTGTAGTCGCCTTGAAATACCTCTGACAGATTCTGCAAAGATTAAGATCATCCTTAAATGTCTATTGCCATTCTATCATCAGCAGTTGGCCCTTGTAGAGATCACTAGTATAGCTGATATTACGGAGAAGTGTAAACGTTTAGAAGAAACTTTATCTTGGTCTTCTCACCTTCCTTCCACTTCTCGACCCTCTTCTTTTAACTCTTCACATCACCTAGATACTTCCAAACACCGTTCTTGGCAATCCAAAGGCCATGAACGTAATATTACCACATTAAGTGCTGTAGTTTGTTGGAATTGTCGTGAGTCTGGTCATACTTTTTATGACTGCGGTATCCCTCGTACCCGTATTTTCTGCCATGGTTGTGGTAAAGAAAACACTCTCAAACGCAATTGTTTTAAGTGTTCGGGAAACGAACGATCGGAGGTCCGTCCCCTGAGCGTTTCTCCGTCCACACCCCTATCAGGGAGCCAAACCGATCCATCAAACAAAGCAACTGTTCCAACCACGTCCAACCATTCAAACCCATCTTCCAGTCGCAAAGGAAAAGGGGTTTCCACGAAAAAACCAACACACACCACACAGGATCACTCAAGAAAGTAACTTCTCAATATAATACATTTGATTCGCATAGATTATCTTCCCCAAATATCTTCCCAAATTTTAGTAATAAACATAATAGTAGCAGTGTAGTAGTTCCAATATCTATACCAGAGTCTACCACAATTCAGGAGGATTCTTTTATTTCTGATTCTTCTTGTTTGCCTGTTGCATCCTCTGATTGTGTCAGTAGAGATAATAAGTTT